ACAATGATGAGAAAAAGTAAAATTTAATTTTTCGGGATTAAAAAAAAATAATAATAATAAAACCAATCTCACGATCGTGAACCTGCAATGATGACGGTTTTCGTCATCTTATAAAATTGATCTTATATTATTGATCTTATAATATTGATCTTATGATATTGCTACTCCGTAAAGGATATAACTTGTGCTACCCCTACCCTAGTAGTTTAGCAGGTGGTAAACTTAGTGTAAAGCAATCTGACAAAATAGAAAACTTGTGATTAATACCAGTAGGTTGGACATTTTGCTGCCCATGAAATTGCATATTGAGGGAGCTGGGGGGGAGGGCGTGGATGAAAGCTCTCTGAGTCTACACAGGCAATAAAAAAGGTTATACTAAAGGCGTTAACTTGAGATCCCACTTTATAATTTGACAGGGCTTCTAAATATTTCTCCTTCCCTGCGTAGGAAACTCAGAGGTATGTTATTCCATGTAGTTTTAAGCCGTCTTTGTGCCTTTGTTCAGATTTTTTCAAACTAGGATTCGAATTTTAAATAAGAATTTTAATTCAATAGTTGTATCGATCCAATTCAAAGCACGATCAATTTTAAAATTCTTCTGATCGTTTTGATTTAACCTTATCTTTGTAGATTAGATCTCGCTTCAAAAAAGGATCAATGGCGTCACCCCAATTGTAGTTGAGGGAACGAGCATTAAGCGAGTCTCGCAAGTGACTGAATCTGGGGTGCCAAGGAATATTCATGTCCAGCCTCGCAATAGCATTGAAAGTGGTGTTGGAGTCTCTAAGATCTGAGTCGATATCGTAGTCTTTTTCCACCGTCTAGATCTGTGTATATCTTAAATGAAGTGAACATTCGTTTAGAAAGCTTGGTACACCTCAGAAGAGATGGATAACCCGCAGGAGCTAACGCTCTGATAAAGGCTGATAGTTTCGAAGGAAACTGTTTGGGGCTGCGTCGGTGAAAGTAACGAAATAATTTGGATATATCAACAAAGTTGAAATGTAAATTGGCCACCGTAACGATTACAAAAGCTGACGTTTCGGGTGTTAGCCCTTTGTCATTCGCTCCGACGAAGGGCTAACGCTCGAAACGTCAGCTTTTGTAATCGTTACGGTGGCCAATTTACCATTTCAACTTTGTTGGTATATCTAAATTATAAGGCTCTGATAGCTTTGTATTCGATCCAAAGTATAATAAAATGACAGTTCAAGTAATCATGATGAGAAGTATCCTTTTTGTCGAAAATGAGTACTGGATATAGCTAAGGTTAGAAGGTCTAATAATCCAAAACTGCATCCAAAAAGTGAGTCTTAAGATTAAGGGAACTACTTAAGGTATCTCAGAAGGTAAGCTAGACTTTTTCTTTTTTTTATGCTAATAGTAGCTCGCCAATGAGCATCCATTAGAACTGGTTAGGATTTAATTACCGGGAGAGAAAATTTTCTTCAGACGTTTCCTCGAAGCACGCTCGATTTGTTTTACTTTAATTTCTCACCCAAATTTTGAATTCGAACGTAGCAAATTTTTTTTTTCGTGGAGATTCATTGGCAAAAATCTCTATCTTTTTTAGTTTGATTTATTTGAAAATAAAAGCAAACTTTTATCATTTAGTCTCCTCAATATTTCATTAATTTTTCCCTTACTCATCCATTTATTTATCAACAAAGTTGAAATGGTAAATTGGCCACCGTTACGATTATAACAGCTTTTCTAATCGTAACGGTGACCAATTTACCATTTCAACTTTGTTGATATATTCAAATTATCTCGTTACCCCCACCGACGCAGCCCCAAGCAGTTTCTTTAGAAACTATCAGCTTTATTCATTTATTTATCTACAAAAATTCTTGACTCGTTTTATGAAACCATGAGGGACTTTGATTATATTTTCATTTCTAAAGAAGATTGCGAATTTTTGTTTAAACGGGTCTAGGCTCCTTCGACCTCCTCCCTTTGCGTTAAAAATTAACTTAGGACAATACCCTTGTGTATCTATATGAAATTTAGTTTTTAAATTGCACGTAGTTATATTGAGCAATCAATTTCTAAATTGTTTTGAATGTCTACTAATTTTGAACTGCGACATAGTGATTTTGATTCCTGAGCACTGCAGAAAATTAATATGTGCCGCAGTAACGAAGAGAACATGTAGGTGTTCCAGTTATGTAGTATACGTAGTAAGCACCACAATTTCTCACCGTGATGGATTTTGACCAATTGCAGCAGCTATAATCCCAATGAAAACAGACTCGTCTCCTGACCTGACCATCAGCCACTGAGGGATGTCCACCAGTCAAATATCCAGGTGCATGAGTGTTGCAACGGTTCTTAGACTGACAGGATGTGGCCATTCTTGAACCTGCAGAACCTTCAAAACGAAACCAGCCAGAGAGTCCACTGTCACAATACGTATTAGTATTTCCGTAAGATACATGTCTGTCCCTGCCACTCAGACTTTGGTAGTTTTGACATTCTAAGGAACAAAAGAAAGGTAGAAATTTAAAAACGCAAAGGTCAGTCTGCTAGGCGGGACACACGTTTGAATTAAACAGGCTTTAAAAATGCTCTCTCTTAAATTTTTATAACTAAAATCCCTAGTCTTTTATTATTTACATCATTGCTTCATTTATTGCGTGCAGAGGTTGAAATAATTCTAGTTGAGCCCCTGCCCGTGAAAAAGGAACATGAGAATGGGGAGAGATGGAAACACCTCCATCCTTTACAGTTTATGTATATGGAGGATACAGTAGTTGTCAACTTAATGGTATGCATATTTATTCGAGAGGGTTTCTTGATTTTTCCTCTTTACTGCGTGAGGGACACAGCGGTATGTCGTCCTGTATGTTTAACAGGTAGCTAGTGATCGTGAATCGAACTAGTTGTTGGTTTATCGTCTCGCAAAAGACACTCTTTACCTGACGCAGAATGCCTGCACGTTTTTCCATCTCCTGTGTAAAACCTGTTACAGGAACAGCTGTAAGACCCTGCATTATTGATACATGACCCAAAACGGTGGCAGCCATGAACACCGCTGGTACATTCATCAATGTCTGCGGACATTAAGACCACCGAGATTATGAATTAAGTAAGCCAAAAAAAAAAACAAACAAAAAAAAAGAAAGAAAGAAAGAAAAAAATGGGGAACGTCATCCTACATGTATTTGCAAACACAAATTCAAATTTACAAAAAAAAAAACTGTTCATTGATTACTTGCTATCCTCCATAAGTCAGAAAATTATTCATTTCAATTAACGATTAAACCTAATGAATAACGTTTACTCGGGCACCCAAGGAATATGTACTGAGAAGGAAGTTGAAGTTTTTATGATACTGCTGTCATATATCAGCTAAAATGCCTTTTAGAGATTTTGCAGACCTTAGTACAGACAAAAAAAAGGAAGGAAAAAAAAAAGGAGCGCGAAAAGAGCGAGATTCTGATCTCAAGTCACGTGATTAGTTGCGTGATACGATTCAAGAAAGGTACAAATCGTATGCAAAACCGCAGTTTTTGTATATAGACTTTTTAATTAAAATTTATTGGAACTGCGATCAATCTGGGGGCAAGAGAATATAAACGATTATTTTCTTGTTTGGTGACCATAGCCTCAGAGTTTTGTAAATTTTAGAGGAAAGTTAAAGCCTCTAACCTCGCTCTTCATCTGATCGAGAACCTCTTGTCTGAAAAAGGGTAATTGGTAAATCTAATACCAACTTAAGGATGTTAATCCATACTTATATTGAATTAGCACTGAATAACATAACAAAAATAAAACGTTTTAAGCATCCAAGAAAAAACTGAACATGTCATTTCAGTCTTTTGTTGAACAACTTAAGAAGTGCTGCTTATTTCACTATCGTTTGCGTCAATAGACTACTTACCAACGCAAGTTTTTCCATTCCCCGAATACCCAGCTTTACATGCGCAGCTATGCGATCCTTGACTATTACGGCAAATAGCGCTGGCGTCACAGCTGTGATTAATTAATTAGTTAATTACCTACTCTCAGTTAATTTTGAACCCTAAATAATCCTTATTCTGCAATTGTAAAAGTTAACGGTTAATCTCGAATTAATTCTAAACTGATACTCTCATTGATAATTTTATTAAAAGCAAAGCATAGATTGTTATTATCACTATTTTCATCACTTTCATCACTACCATAATCATCACAGCCTTGTAGTTTGACATTGTAATCACTTCGAGTTTCAAATGCACAGGTTTACCAACTTAAGGATGTTAACTCATATTTTTATTGAATTAGCACTGAATAACATAACAAAAATAAAACGTTTTAAGCATCCAAGAAACAACTGAGCATGTCATTTCAGTCTTTTGTTGAACAACTTAAAAAGTGCTGCTTATTTCACTATCGGTTGCGTCAATAGCCTACTTACCAACGCAAGTTTTTCCATTCCCCGAATACCCAGGTTTACATGCGCAGCTATGGGATCCTTGACTATTACTGCAAATAGCGCTGGCGTCACAGCTATGGGAGTTTGTGGAACATTCGTCTATATCTGCGACGTAAGTTTTAATAAATGCTAGTTAAAATTAAATGAAGCAGTCTAACATAAGTCTACCTGTAGTTAATCCTTCTTTTCCCTTGCTCCCATAGCAGGTAAAAATATTAACTACTCTTAGTTAAATGCGAACCCTAAATAATCCTTATTCTGCAATTGTAAAAGTTAACGGTTAATCTCGAATTAATTCTAAACTTATACTCTCATTGAAATTTTTTGAAAAGCAAAGCATGAACAATTACTATCTTTACAAGTAACATAAGTCTACCTGTAATCAATCCTTCTAATTCCTTGCTCCCATTGCAGGTAAAAATATTACCTACTCTCAGTTAATTGTGAGCCCTAAATAATTCTTATTCTGTAATTGTCAAAGCTAACGGTTAATCTCAGGACAACAACTGAGAAACGAATAAAGAGTAGCATTAAAAACAACCAAAGAAGAGGCAATTAAACATATCAACGTATAAGGCACCGGGTTATTATTACGAACAGCGTGAATGTCATAAGCTGTACGAGTTTCACAAACACTCGTCAATATCTTAAACTTTTAAAAGGATCGCTTAGATTTGTTAAGAAGTTGAAGACGGTTCTCTTAGTTGAGAGATAAAACGGTACAATCATGTCAATAAGAAATTAGAGGGGCTAAATGGTACACTTTCTCTACTTTGAAGAGTTTAAAGTTGGTCATACCATTGCATGTTCTTCCATCACCAGAATACCCAGCTCTACAGGTACAGGTGTACGACCCCACGGTATTCGTACAATCTGCGTTGTCTGCACAGTTGTCAGTGTGTGTTCTGCATTCGTCAAAGTCTGCCACAATCAACATATAACAATTTAAGTCTATGCCTATACCATATGAAAAAGAAATGATGAGGAGATCTGTATTTGTTGTTGGGAGGGATTATCTTAGCACAGCAAGGAAAAATTAAGAAGCTTGGCGACTGAGATCTTTAGGAACGTCCAATGACTAGAAGTACCCATCAAGTAAAGAAAATAGTCTGGATTGAAAAAGAAATAGCATTTTTCCATTCATCAAGGTCACCTCAGTTTCAATAACTACTCGAGGTGTTATTCAAAAACAATAACTACTTGCAAGACAATAAACTCATTACCTGTAAAGCACGTAAAATTGAAGCAACTTTTGCATGGCACGTCATTCCAAGCGTACCCATGCTTTGCACCAAGAGTGTGCACGCAGTCTTGGTTGTTCCAGTCATTTGGCTGTTGCGGAGCCCAGAATCTAAATTTGCTTACTTCTTTATTTGTCCAAACAAATGATCCTTCCACGCTCCGATCATTGAGTCCAATCCAAGATCTTTCACCGTTATGTCGATGCTGAACGTAAACATTTTCTTCTTGGTTGTGCACAGTCACCAACTGGGAGCCCATTGCAGAGCAGTTAGACTCAGCGGTAAGCCATGGTGTGCATGCGGGACCGAACAAGATCACTCGCTCGACCTGGTAACAACTAGGAGTTGTGTCATGTTAAAATCATGAAATGTCCGTTCGCAACCTACGCATTAAACCATATGCATGGGCAAGCTGACAACACAAAGAAGTCTCAGACCCGTTAGAGTTACGCTAACGCTGGGATTCCTTAGGAGGATCGAGAGTACACTTTCAACTCATATCTTCCCTTCCTGGGCGAAAAACTCGACGGTGGTAACCGTCATTTTGAGAATTTCTCAGTTTGACACTCAATTTTATTTAGTTTATGAGAAGCATAAGAAAGATTATTGATGAGTTTCGAAATGAGCAGGCTTAGGAGTCTGGCCTTAAGCGTGAATCCTATTAAAGATGGCGGACCGACTGTTAAATATTCAGATCAGTTGAAGAGGACTCTTGGGAGCTGAAGGCTAAAATCTGTCTCCTAGAATCAAAATATCATGCCTTTTAGTACAATCCCTTTGTATTACCTTGTGCACAGTTTATCCACCAGTTTTTTAACTACTGATAATTCTGATTCCGTTGTCGGCGATCTCTTTGAGTCCGCCGAATGGTCTTCTTTGGAGGAACTTCGTCTTACTCAATTTATTTATTTATTATTATTTTTTTTTTCGTAAAGGAGAGTTGATTTTATACTCAGTAATTTTTTGGTAAAACCATGTTTGTAAAGTTAAAAGATATCCTGAAAGATCAATTCGTACTTCGTTTCGATTTCCACCGGTACCAAGCTTGTTAGCATGCGGTATATTATTGCAAATTTACCAACTGATCCCTTTCGGGACAGAAAGGTAATGCAGATTTTTCCTTCGTAACACGCGGATGCATTACTTCGTTACCTATACTTCGTTGGGGACGAAAAGTAATTTAAATTCACTGGCCAATATTATTTAAGCGCCATGAGATCAGGATGGCACTGAAAAAATACACAGCTGGCGATATCTGGCGGTAAATGAAAATTTACCTTATGTATTGATGAAACATGGCTTGAAGAAAAACTATCATCTCAAGGTTGGGTGTACATATATCCCACGCTTGAAATTACGAAAAACCTTTCTTATACGTTGGCGGTTGGTGCAGTTTACCTCATGACAGTCATTTCAGGTGAGGAGGATATCACTCTTTCATTTGACTTATTTCCTTACTTAATTCAAGCCCAAAGCTAACAGTCTATTGACAAGAAGCTGCTCCTTTAGGTTTAACACCCTCAAAACCACAAAAAAAAATAAATAAATAAATAAACGTATAAAATGGATGACCTATGGCATTAAACATGCGTATTTCCAGCAGTTTTTCTTGGAGAACAAGTTTACTCTTTTTCGTACATATTCCCTAGGTGTAAAAAGGCAGTATTTTTAGAACGATTTAACTAAAATATAAAAGTCAGCAGACTAAATCGGATTATTACCACATTTAAAATAAAAGAAATGTGTAACACCGATCTCTGTTGTAGGTACTTGAACGTAAGGGTATACGACATGGCAAATATTGCACAAAACTCAATGACATCAATCTCTGGGAAAGATAAGTGTTATTCTTGACAAGAATTTCCATCTACACGACAATGTATATGACCTTTCGCGAAACAACTACTAAACGGATCCCATTGCATTTTCGTCAAAATAGCTCGAACTCTTTTCAAGCTGGAGGCACAGCATAAAGCGGGCCAAAATAGAAGAATCAGACGAATTAGACAATAAGAATAAAGCTTTAACACGATGTATCTTTTTGATCTGTAATTATGTATGGCAGACCCCGTTATATGTGGCAGACCCCTGCCATTTAAGTTGACCTTTCTTTTACCTCTGCGAAAAAGGCACAAAGTACCTTATTTCAACGGGTAACTGTCTAAGACTTGAACATAACAACATAACAACATAACAATTAATTTAGGATTACATCGCGTTGCAGGAGTTGCATAATTTTTCATTATTTCACGTAGAGGGGAGGGGGGAGTTGCCATCTAGCTGTGTTTTGAGCTCTTCGATTTTTCGGAGAAAGCAAAGCACGATGTATTATCATGGTTTTTAAGAGTAGTTTATAGAAATTTTTAGTCAAATTAATATTATAAACATAAGTTTCATTGTTGCGATTATAATCATTATAATTATTATTTATTCGATTCTATATTTTTGATATTTTTAATAAGCATTTTCTTGATAGCTATCTATAGCAAAGTTTAATATTATTTGATTTTGAAATAAAACTTTAGTTGACTTGGACAGGCTTGTAGAAAAGTAAGCCCTAACTGAAAATAACAAAACAATGCAGCAAGAAAAACCTGAGGGATTCTGGTAGTAGTAGTCATATGCTGCAATCTTGCAGATGACATAATACGACTGTTACCCTTCAAGCTGCTTTTTTTTTCTTTGAGCCATCTAGCTTGCACGAGACTCTATTCCTAAGTCTTTCTGCTCTTAAACTCTTAAACAAAAACTCATTGATAGGTCAATGGGTGACTACTGATAAACTGTATTTAAAATATTAAGTAATGCATTGCGTGCAAAATTGTAGAGCAGGTGATAACCAGTAATATAACTGGGATGACATATGGATAAAAACACACTGGATGAATCATTAGCTCCTCGAGTGAATATATATATATTTTCGTCATATTTGATTCATTGGGAGTGGATCAATTGAGAGGAGTTTCATCTATTGATAGAGTCTTTTTATCGAGTGCAAACAGGAAGGATAATCAAAATGCTATCTGGTTTGGCGTGCACATTTCAGGCTGCGACGTTCATTCTAGGTGAGTAACGTCCTACGCTGATCAAAATTATCACTAGAGGCAACTTGCCTTGTCATTAGAACGTCAAAGAAAAACCCCAAAAAGGTCTTTACTTTCTTGATACCTTTGTCAAATTTTGTCACTTACCGACAGAAACCGTATTCTAATTTCAATTAAAGTCGCTTTAACTAGAAAACTTAAATATACAGATATGCTAGGAAAATTATGTTTTTATGGGTCAGTAATTCCTTTAAGAATCAATTAATGGCGAAAGGCACCGTCAAAATATTTTAAAAAGTGATGGCAGTTTTTTTTTTGCGACCATGATCAAAGCGGAAGTGCTATCAAAACGGAATTTGCAGCAGTTTATCAAAGAAAAAAAGTTAGAATGTGTTTTAGTTTTGCGACTTATTTCTAATTGAATAATGATTGGCCTATACCAGAATTTTTATAAAACGATACAACGCCATCTTAATATTGCTTCAAAGTGTATTCAGATAATCGCCTTTCTCGCTCCGATTTCCTTAGATTTGAAACACGCGCTTCCATATTTGATAGAAACAAGAAAATCAACATGCAACTTATTTGAAGAAAAAATAACCCGTTCGCTTATTAGAATAACAATACACTGAAAAAAAAGGGCTACGAACTACATCAAACCAGATGTTTAGAGTCGAGCTTCAAAACGTCAACTACAAAATTTAAAACTTAAAAGAAAAAGGTAGAGCCTAACGGTGCTTTAAGTCAAAAGAATTTCCTCATGATTATTACGAAAAAAGTGATAGAAAGAAGATCCTATTTCGGATGACAATAAAAGCGACGAATAAGCTGTTTGCTCTAGATCAATGCACTATTTAAATACGTCATCCTTCGGAATTTTAAATTTGATTCAATAAGATAAGGTACATCTTCAATGTGAATATTAAAAAATTAAAACTTGCACCAACTATACCATTAGCGCGTCAGCTTTATTTCACGTTATCAATTTAATGCTACATTTTTTAACAGAAAAGTTCAGTTAAAAAAAATGTATAGATATAAAGCTAAGAATCATAATTTTAGGATATATGCTAGAAAGCGGAAGTCTCCGTCGATATATTTTCGGGTATTGCATTTATTCTCAGGAGTAAAAGAACCAATGGCGTCGCGCATTATTTCTAAAAATAGCTTTCGTCTTATGAGACCCCCACGTGACTCAGACAAATAGTGCGATCCGCCATAAGCAAATGTATGCCGGTTGGCGACAGTATGTGAACAAAAATTGTTAAAAATCGAGCAAATCGCGGTCTGTACTTCCTCGGAGGAAGAAAAATGGTTGGTACCAGGGATTGCTGTTGGGGTAATTGCAAAACCGACTCAAGGTACCCGGAGAAATAGCCAAAGGAAGGAGTACACAGACTTCCTAGAGGAAGAAAGGTCTATAAATATGCATCGACAGTGGTCAAAGTTGCGAGCAGATTCAAGGCTGCTGAACCTCTCACCTCAAAAGATTCTTCTGAGGTCTCAAAGGCTTTCCAGAAAAACTACAAGAGATTACCATTGAGATGGCGTAAAGTTCTTCAGGGTGATCCTGGTCGTGAATTTATGGGTGAAACGACTAAAGAGATGGCAAAGAGTCATGTGAGAATAAGAAGAGGAAATGTAAACTCTATGCTGCTTGTGAGTTAGGAGGTAGTCAAAGACGAGCAACAGTTCCACTATGATCTCTGAAGGTCTTCAATATCGAAAAAGTATTTGTGAATGAAAGGGAGCCTGGTCTCTACTATCTGAAATACGGACCAAAGCGAGGGTTCGTCAGAGAAGAGCTTCAGATTGTTCCATCTAAAACTGAGTTACCTCCTGAAGGATTTCGATGATTTGAAAAATGTTCCAAATGCTTCATAAGCCTCCATGAGTTTTTGTGGTTATTTCTGAGATATTGTCCTTATTAGTTTTTCCTGGTGATTCTAACACATTTTTGTCTTGAAATTCGATGCAATCTCACAATTCGTCAATTTGATTTGAAAGACTTGCTTTGATTTTCAAGGCAGTTTCGAAAAAAATGCGTCGATCATTTTGCCCTGAAATCATCGTTATACTTTTTTTAAATGAGATTAAAGAAAACGTAATATTTTCAAAATTAACTTGAAAACATGGTTGTTTTGACACATTTTTAGAATGTTGTTTTCAGGACAAAGTTTAAATTTTACCTGAAAATCAAGGCAATTTTCAAACTGTGTCAGAAACCCCCTTTTGATACTACTCCAAAATTTAC